TTCGTTAAACAAACTGATTACTCAAACAAAAAAATAATTTCGCGAACACGTCGTCGAGTACCGGAACTAACTTATTTCTGAAAACTTTGTTATACTCGTTTGTTAAAGTATCGGATTAAAGACTACTAAATGTAGTCCAGTTAAACCCTCAGAAGACATAGGTTTGCACGTTTACCGCTAAAAAAAACTCCTTTGTCGTATCTCTTTAATTTCATGGCACTCCTCTTGTTACCTCAGTCAGCACCGGAATCCTCTGCGTCGACGTATGACGTCACTTAAAAGGGTAGGCCAAATTAGCTTTTAAAAAGCTTGGCGTGATTTGCAAAGTGGGACAGTATTTAATGCCAGCACAGCATCTGCGACATTACAAAGCACAGGTTCGGCTTCACAAGCAGTACAGACAGTGCTAACTGTTGACCGCACTTGACCGCAACCAGCAAAGAGCGGCTCGAATCGTCAACGACCGAAATCTTTCTGTTCGGCTTGACACACTGCCGCTGCAAAAAGACATGGCTTCCACTTGCATATTCTATTGATTCTACCACGGGTAGTTCTCAGAGGAATTGTTCGAACTAATTCCAGCCGCTAAATTTCACCATAGCTTGTTATACCATCTATACCACCTCAGCGAATGGTGGTTCGGTCCATCCCTGTGCGATTTACTAAAAATTTTCCTCCTCGCACAACTTATTTTGTAATTGACTGCCACCAGCGATTTTTCCGAACCGATACGACTTAGGGATCTTCAAGAAAAGAGCCTACTCTTTTTAAAAGGATGGTAACGCATATGCGACTTCCCTAGTGTTGAAGATGATGCTCGTTTGCAATACATATAAGCCTCTGAAGACATAGCGTAAAATTAAAGCACCGAAATCAGAACCTATTAAGTTGTTTTTTTTTTTAGTTCAGTTGGTTTTAGTATTTTTTAGTAGTTGAATTATTTTACCCTTTTGAATGGAGTAAGGAATATCATATTTCAGTTAAAAGTAAAGAATTTCGTCTAAATAGTCATCCCAGCTTAAGCTTATTTTGATGTCTGACTGATTAATCGCGTATTGGGGAGCTGATGCTTATAGACCAATTAAAATAATAAAGTTGAGAAATAAAGGTACAATATTTATATTTTTTGCTGAATTTTAGGATTCAACTACGAGGAACTGTTCTGGAGCAACGAATTTAATGTATTGTAAGCCTTTTGAGCTTTAAATAATATGCAAAGATATGGTTCACATTTATATTTAAAAAATCTTATACAGTATTTTAGATATCACTCCAACTTGTTAAGAGGCTTTTGCGATATGTCTGCATAGTACAAACCGACCGACGAATGTTATATATAAATGAAAAAATAAGGCAATTAACCAGCGTAAGCTGGTTGCCATCGAAAGGTGGATTTATTTCAGATATTTTTAACCGCATTGCATTGTGCTGCATGAATGTGTACATTAAAATGGGAAAACAGGATCATCATCCCATTGTAAAACATGAACTGTATGGATTTATAGTCAATAATTTTATATTTCGAGGGGTTTGCTGAAACAATATTTATGCAATCAAACTCGAATAAGGCTTCAAAGTTATCATTTATATTTCTTATAATATTCTTAATGACATCACAAACATATAGACGTTTGAAAAAATCGATATAGTAGTGAAAAGTAGGTTATAATTAATATCGAATATAACGTGATATAATTTTGCGCATGCAAATCAGTCTTCGCAGGTTGAAAATATAGAATGAAAAGCACTCAAATGGTGGGAGAAAAAACCGAGATAGATCAAAATGGAGACGAAAATATCGTAGTAAAATGTGTTCAAAGCATTTCAAACAAGAAGAAAAGTCAGTAAGCTCCACTATATTGTTCTGTTTATTCATCTCTTTTCTAGCGTTATTTAGTGACATTAATAGGATATAATAGCTGTAGTTGTATCATTTGACCAGACCGGATTTTAAGACTTTCAATAAGTTGTGTTTTTGTGATAATAGAAATTTCATTATGAATACAGGCTACAAGAACTTTGGACTAAATGAGATAATTGAAAACGAATAATAAAAGTTAATTTATATAATTTAGTATTGGAAACCTTGTAGCAGGCACACAATAGCTTTTTTAAACAAGGTGTAGGTAGTAGATCTTAAATCAAATAATAATTTATAGCATGCATAACTACTGGGAAAACGAATTCATGTAACGTAATATGTTACACCTTTGGCGGTAAAAGGATATTGAATAAAAATTTATCCTATTCTGTTCTCAAAAATTTGCCATACATTTCGAACAGATAGATAATAAGGTCAACTTTAGATGAATAGATAATATACACCTTAAGGTAATTACGTACTGATTACTGTGATATAGAGACTACGAGAGTTATGACTTTCAGAGTCAAAAAAATGCGTCGATTTTTAAGCAGAGACTACGGTACTACCTCAGAGTAATTACTAGCATACGTATATATGTAATTACGTGGAAATTACTTTAAGGGTACTACATTAAATACAGAGTAGTTGATATATTCAGTTATGTCTAATATGTAAATCAATGAGTTGATAGTATAAATATTATTAACTAGGTATGCATCTAGATACGCATTACCAAATTAATTTAGTTTTAATTAACAATATAGCTATATTATGCACTTATCTGAATATTATCATTTTAATTACCTATTCAAAAATAATTCGCAATTATGTAAAGCTCTTTTCGAGCAAATTAATGCTGACAAATCACTCATTGTTTGCTTTTTTGTAATAACCGCTGTTCCGAGACATTGAGTTACACATATTTATTCAAAGAAGCATACCTACATTTGGAAAGATAAGTTTCATAACATCTTGTGACAATTTCCTTCCACAATTTCATTAACCATCGCAAAATAGATACATTGGTATGCAATCAAGCGTTTGCTGCAAGATTGCACTGAGACTAAGCAATTCCCCGTAGGGATCAATCACGCAAGTCAGGTTAATCTCAATTATGGGTATATCTGCCGATGTACAATCTTATGCAAATTTTACTGTATCCTTCATTAATAAACAACTGCTTTAGAAATCTTCACAGGCCAAAATTGTAGATACTATTTTTAAATTTGAATCCTGTTACCGTAGTTTCTTTTCTGAATAAAGATCCAAGATACACCAAGTACAGAGTAGTCATTGTGTCGTACGAGCTCATCACTCAACATGGTGGCTCATATTACGCTACCATTTTAAAGTGGTACCTCATCCCTTGAAGTAATAAAAGGCGACTTAGAGAAGTTTAAAATATAATGTGACTACAGACGGATGACAGTACAGACATTATATTTATGCTTATATACAATCTCCAAAACGGCGAGACGAAGTATCGTCAAAGGTGCAAGACTGCAAGCCATTACAAGCTGATAAAGACAGTGAGCGGCTACGAGTCTAACCCGGACGGACAGTCAGGCCCATTTATAAACCTTAACCAGTATTTTTGATTTTAAAAGCAACCCACAAAAACTATTTAATTTTGCGAAAAATTCTAGAGTTATTAAAAACTTTTACACATTTCAGACATATGACACTTAACAATGATGACTAAACTGCTCACTGATAAGAGTACCTATATTATAGAGACTATTTACCACCATATATTATAGACATGTGTGTCCGCGGTTCAAATCTAACATCGAAGGATAGACTAGCTAGATAATATATTATGTAGCGAGATATTAAATGCTCGAAGCCTTTTTCACACGGCAAATTAAAGTAGAGAGAATTTCCGTCTACGTTCTTACTTTCGGCTTATATATCCACCGCTAACATTAATGAATTAATAATAAGATGGAGTTATAAGCATAGTTAGTAAGAAGTAAATAAAAAGCGGGGTAGGAAAATTATTGTACCTCTACAAGTAAGACAATTACCTATTATAAACATATTTCTACATTTATTAATTTAGCAACCGAACTTTCTTACATGTTATTTATTAAAATGAATAAAACTGAGTAATCAAATAAAATTAAATAATGATAAAAAGTTAACAACAACACTTCACTGTTAAATCGAATTTGAAATTAATTTAAATTTCTACAAACATAAATTTACACTTATTATATCGATATGATCAAATGATAGCAAATCACGAATACAACCATATTATTAGAAACAAAAAAATTTAATTATTGGATATTAAATTGCAAAAAGTGTAAAAAATTTTTTTACAGATAATTAAAAATTCAACTTTTTTAAGCGAAGTGCTTTATTCCTACATTCTATGAATCGATGACACGGATGACGATTCGCGTGTGAAAAGATCTTGACTTAAATCTATCGTTCATTATCTTATGGTTTATTAACAGTCAACGTGTTAATAATTAGAGAATTATTTTTATTCCTGTTCACGTAGTCTAATTAAATAGCACTGAGTGTTTTTTATCACTCAGCCTCGACCTACAAGTATGCAAGGTCCGCGAGATGATATACGATGACGTTCCACATCGTAGTTCATCAGTTATTATATAGGTACCGATGGTTGTATTGACATGTTATTTAAAAATACAAGTCAAGGATGTTTGAAAATTGCATTTTAAAATTGTTAGTTGCATTGAAAACAAATAACTAACTATGTTTATAATCTCTAAGTATGCAAGGTTTAAGCTATAAGGAGGAATTTGATTTTCTCGTTATAGCTCAAAGATGACTACTATAAAAATAACAAGTTCTTCAACTGTGGGTGCTACATCATATAGAAGAGAGATAAAAAGTGCAGAGCATTTTGTACAATGTATTTTTTTTTAATGTATGGCACATTTCGACCACTATGAACACTCGTTCGTAGCTGTTTACTAAAACATGATTTTAGTAACAAAAACTGTATTTAGTTCTAGATAGTTTATTAAATTCGATCAAAGTTCAAAATAGCTGTGTGTTTGTGCCTAATTCAAAGTCGAGTTTTTTGTAGTTTTTTTTATGTGATGATTTGTAATAAATATTTTTGTGATAGATGTCGTCAACAAAATGGCTGCTGTGCACCATGGTAGCGATCTGTGTGATCGTACGGCAAGGAAAGTCCGCGCCTGCGCCGCAAGAAGACGCGGGTCCACCGACACCGGTAAGTTATTTTTTTAAATAAAGTAGCTCGTTCGTGAGCTAACAGTGCACCTGATTGTGAGAAGCTACCCTCCTACAAACTTCAAAACAAAGAAGGCCAGAGATAGGTTATTCGTTGTCACTCCTGTAGGTTAAGTTATAATTCGCTCACATTAGCCTGTAACTATCCTTCAAACACAGCTGTGGTTGCAACACTACTCGATGGTTAAAAGCAGGTGGTACCAGACATATTCTTCACATATCTACTTCTAAGCAGAAAAGATCACCACCAGGAAAAATAGAAAAATAGGATAAATAGGAAATATGAAAAATAACTAAAGATTCAAATTGACTCTTTAGTGTACAGTTATTATATTTATATCATGTTCTCCATGTTATATTGTTATAACAGATTTTTAGTTTTAATTGACATACGCATTTAAGCAACTATTTAAATCTTTATTTAAGCACACCGTTGTTAGCGTAAGTGTAGGCAGCCTATGTTTATTGAATAAAACTATATTTGGATTTTATGTTTAATTATTTAATTTATTTTTTTTTCGTTGTAAGATTACTCGTAATTTAGCTTACATTTCAAACTGACCAAGTAAATTCTTGCTCACTTTGTTAAGTAAAAAAAAAAATTGTAAATGTACTTTATGTAGGATATTGTAGCGACTTTAAACAGCAATTATAGATGCAGTTTTGTTAATTAAAAATCAGAATTATTATTAATAACGTTGTAAGGTCAGTATCGAGTTAATTACAAATGTTGTTAACAGCGCTTAGACTATAAGTTAACACGTCTCCAATCCGCCGCTATCAAGTGCATCTCGGTAACCAGGTATTATGTTTACCATGTGAACATTTGAACACCAAGACACTAATTGGACGCAATTGCGTTAAACCGCCTTTGTGTGCACACCGTGTTCCTTATCGCAGTTTATCGCGATTACAGAGGTAACACTGAACAATAAAAACTTAATGGAATCACATTGTGTGCTTTGAGACAAGAGATTTATTTAGCGCATTATAATAATATATTTGTTCAAGTTCAAATACCGTTTATTACGCGTATGTTGTTGCCAAAAGTGTCTTAAGAAATGAGCTTACGTTTTACCTTACCTATATCACATTGTGTGCTTTGATACAAGAGATTTATTTAGCGCATTATAATAATATATTTGTTCAAGTTCAAATACCGTTTATTACGCGTATGTTGTTGCCAAAAGTGTCTTAAGAAATGAACTTACGTTTTACCTTACCTATTGTTTGTATTACTTCTTTAAGAAATGAAAAAAGACTTTGCCCAAGACTTAAATGGCCTAAAGCTTTCCATTTTTTTTTACTCTACAAACAAATAATACGATCACGTCTTTACCTATAACATTGTTGTTTTGTATGGAAAAAAATTAAATGATTTTTTTTTTACATAAAGTTCTAATTACCCAAAACATTTGTCATAATAATTAAAGGCATTGTTGCTATTTTATGTGCATATTGTTGATGTTCTTGCTACAGAAGTACACCAGAATAGCTAAACATTCTAGAATACTCTTAAAAGGTGCTTTTTAGGGTTCCGTAGTCAACTAGGAACCCTTATAGTTTCGCCATGTCTGTCTGTCCGCATGTCCGTCCTCGCTTAATCTCTGTGACCGTTAGCACTAGTAAGCTGAAATTTGGTACCAATATGTGTATCAATCACACCGACAAAGTGGTAAAATAAAAATTGGAAAAAAAATGTTTTATTAGGGTAGCAGCCCCCCTATATGTAAAGTGGAAAGTGATTTTTTTAATTTCAACCCTAACGTGTGATATATTGTTGGAAAGGTATTTAAAAATGAATAGGGGTTTACTAAAATCGTTTTTTGATAATGTCAATAATTTCGAAAATAATCCGCTCCCCAAAAGTGAAAAACAATGTGTCCCCCCCCCCTCTAACTTTTGAACCATAAGTTTAGAAAATATAAAAAAAATCTGAAAAGTAGAACTTTATAAGGACTTTCTAGGAAAATCATTTTGAACTTGGATGGAAACAACAGTACCCACTACCGGGAGCAGTTGCAGGAGCGCGAACATAATGGATACCCACCTTTAAACTCATAAGTGGGAACACTTATTGTGACGGACGGGAAACTACGGAACCCTACACTGAGGCGGCCCGTCACGCTCTTGGCCGGTTTTTTTATTATTGCTTCTTCTAATGTTATCAAACTTCGAAAAAAGTAGGTCTGTTGGGGGAAGGTCCGGAATATACAGAAGGAAAAGTTCGTAGTTTTTATTTTGACAAAGTCTGTTGTGCAGTATGTGACCAAGCGTTGTCATGAAAAAGCACGTATCACGAAGAGCTGTTCACCAATCTTGGTTCGGTACCAGCTTCTTAATTACGTTCTTAGTAACCGTGGCAACAGATGGCAAGAAGCTGTAGTTAACAACACCAGACTGTCACTGTAACCATTCGTTTTGGGCACTGTATGACTTAGGCACCTGCGGCTAACCACAGTGATAAACATTTGCAAATGTCCACTTCTCATCGCAAGTAACAATTTGACACAAAATTCTGCTCTGTCAACGCCGATTGAGCAATATGATGCAAACTTAGATGCGGGTTTCTCGCTTTGCGTAGCTCAGTTCGTGAGATACTCATTTATGAAGCTTCTTTATTTTACCGATTTGCCGCAAACGTTTAATATTGTTTTTACATATATATCAAAAGCTGATGACAGTTATGCCGTAGATTGTGATGGATCCGCTTTCACTATCGCCTTCAGTTAGTCGTTATCAAACCTCACCGGGCGCGAACGTTTATTTGTAGCAAGGGCAAAATTTCCCGACGTAAAGTGGTTAAACCAATAACGCACTGTTCGTTCCTTTGTAGTGGCTGGGTCCGTAAACTTCATTAATATTGTGTGCCGTTTGAGACGCATTGTTCCCGCGTCGGAACTGATATTCATAAATAACACGAATTATGTTAGAGTCAATGATTCCCGAAAAACAAGGCCTAAAGGATTATATGAATAATAATTTTAAAAGGAATAACATGCGTTAAATAATTTAAATTTAGAATTCTAAGTCAAAGCATAATACTGTTCAAAGTAAGTGCACATAAGAAAACAACAATTTCATAGGTTCAAAGGCTAACATCACATCACCCGTATTATGCGTGGGTCTCGCAACTTAATGAAACTATAACAGGTGATAGGAAAAATCATTTTCCAGATAACATTAATAATAACTGTGGTTTCTAACCAGCTTACCACGCGTGGCAACTATGCCAATTATTTCGCCCATCAGGCAATTAATGGGGAAGATCTATGTTCAATAGTGGACTTGTGATGGACTGTAACGAATATGCTATGTTAAGTTAAAAATTACAGCCTATATACGTCCCACTGCTGGGCACAGGCCTCCCCCTCATTTCTGAGAGGGTTTTAGGGCAAGGAAGTGTCCGCCGCGATGCCCCAATGCGTGTTGGCGAACTTCACATGTCTTCGAAATATTTTTGTTTTCTTATTTCTCAGACATGCAGATTTCCTTAATATGTTTTCCTTCACCGCCGAGCACGTGGTAAATCAGCACTTAAAATTGCAATTAACAATTTCATTGGTGCCGGCGGGGATCGAAACACGTTTGCCCGCGTACTATGAAATTTATAACGAGCGCTACTCATCTGTGCCACCACGGCTCATGTATCAATATCATATATCGATATGCTATGTAGTTAGAGTAGACTAAATAACTACGTAGCACTATTGCGCATTGGCGGAGTTTTACTACCTACCAGGCATCATATTTCTGAGTGGGTTATGGAGCATTTAGTCCGCCGTACTTTACATGTCCTCGAATCCTTCACCATAAATCCATAAATCAGGTTCGATTACTTCGTAAATCAACAAAAATGCTAAACTAAAGTTCCAAATAATAATTTCCGTGGCGTCACCCCCAATTTAACCGAATCATAGCTCGGTTATCAAGAAATTGAGCCCGACGCCATGTTGTGCTATTCTTGATTACAGTATCATCCCGTCTTGTCTCATAGATTTCGACTAGTCAAAAATCTATAGCTCATGGCTTCATAAGAATGCTTTCATTTTAAGACAGATTGTCTGGAAGAAATTACTTTGTAGCAACAAGGCAGCCTTTTGTTTTCCTTCAATATCTTTGTATTTTATATTAACCTTTCCTAGGTGTACAATGAGAAGTGTAGCTTATAAAAGCATTTAAAGAAACGAGTGAAAATGTAAATAAATTAAATTATTCTCAAACGCTTGTAAAAGGTACAGGTAAAGGTACATTATTATTGGACCATATGTTATTACTGGACTTATGAAATAAGCCACGCAGTCCAAAAATGCATTAAAGTTGCGTTTAAATGTCAAAATGAAGTAAAAATAGCCCCACTATTTTTCATAAGTTTGTATGCTATACATCATTATATATATTTAGGTTAAAAGAAATTAACTACCTATATTATCAAATATAACATTTGATAGTTATAGTACCTATTTATAACATTAGCCAAGAATAAGAGACTAAAGTTATGATTATTTCGTACTTTAAGTAAAAACAAGGAGATTTGTTAGTTGAAAAAATTTCAATATAAATTACCTTTTAACGATGTTTCGAACATCATCATTATCATCATTATAGCCCTTCGCAAGTCCACTGCTGTATATAGGCCCCCGAGGAATGCCACAAAATTCGGTTCTGAAACACCTGCATCCATCCACTTCCTGTATGTCTTACCAGGTTTTCACTCCATCTAGTTGTGGGACACCCTACACCTCGCTTGTCAGTACGAGGCGGCCACTCGAGAGAACCTTTCTACCCCATGGCCGGCCCATTGCCACTTCAGCTTACTAATCCATTTCGAATATGGCATTGAATATAAAATTTTTAAATTCCTATTTTCGTTTACTAACGTTAATTAATAAAGCAGAAAAAACGCTTATTATAATGTACTTAAATATTAATTATTACAAGTGAGAAATTTTTCTCACGAATTAAACATACCTTTTTTGAACTAAGCAACTCAAGGTTTTTTTACTTACATCATTATATTCATATATGAGAATAACATATTAATTGAAATATTTTATAAATACTGATGTTATAAAAACTAATGAATGAGAAATCTTAGAAACCTAGTCAATGACGAAACTAAGTTTATCTTCTTGTTTCCATTATCGTGGATATATATTTGTAGACTATAATAGAAGTGTATCTATAAAAAACAATAGACAAAGTTATTTTCGAATCTAATTTTGAAATTACTTGCTCATAAATTGCTTCATTTATTTATTTATGTACACATAAAAGATATAGAAACAGTCATACAGTGAATTCGTAAAAAGGTTCTACTTATTCCATACTCATAACGGAATATATTTTTAAATGGCAAAATTATTGCGTACATTATTAGTTATTAGTACTACTAATTAATAAATAATATAGAAAATATTACGTAAATTATACTAAATAATACTGTAAATAATAAGTAACATTTATGAACGTAACATTAAATTTGATTCGTAACAAAATAATTGGTATACTGGTTCTTTATATATTATATTTTATTCAAACCGCAAAAAGCCTACTTTCGTACAGAAATTATTTTCCTCTATAGGGATATAATTATTTTCCTCTATAGGGATATATACCCCCCATGAACAATTACACAAATAGACGGCCCCCAGTCCCCGGCGGCCCCGCTATTCCTGGCTACGGTGGCGACCATGGTAACGGCGGGGCAGGGGGTGCTAAGAATCTCCGGTGGAGGTTCGGTTGCCACCTACGACGACTCGACCTGGCAACATTTAACGCACGCACACTGAGGACTGACGAGAAGATCCTGGAGCTGGAAGAAGAGATAGACAAGTTGCGCTGGAGTATTATAGGATTATCCGAGGTCCGAAGAGAGGGGGAGGACACGGTGATTCTCGAATCCGGCAACTTGTTCTATCACCGGGAGGGCGACCATCTGTCCCAAGGAGGTGTCGGATTTATCGTCCACAAGTCTCTCGTCAACAACGTTGTAAAGATTGGGAGTGTGTCGACGAAGGTCGCGTACCTGATACTCAGAATCACCAAACGGTATTCGCTGAAGGTCATACAGGTTTACGCACCAACCTCGGCACATCCCGATGAGGAGGTAGAGGAAATGTATGAGGATATTTCTAAAGCCATGCATTCCTCCAAAACCCACTACACGGTGTTGATGGGAGACTTCAACGCAAAACTAGGCACAAGAGAAAGCGGTGAGCTGAAGTTAGGGAAATTTGGAGTAGGGCAACGGAACCGAAGGGGCCAGCAGCTGGCCGACTTTATGGAGAAAGAGGGACTCTTTATGATGAACTCTTTCTTCCAGAAGCGGCCCCACAGGAAGTGGACCTGGTCGAGCCCCGACGGTTCGACAAAAAATGAGATTGACTTCATTATGACGACCAGACGCCAACTGTTCAGTGATGTCTCAGTGATCGCAAGGGTGAAAACTGGCAGCGATCACCGAATAGTTAGAGGCACACTGAACCTAAACGTTAAGTTGGAGAGGTCTCGTCTAATGAAGTCAACGCTCCGTCCCCCTCGTGCTCTAATCCAGAATCCCGAAAACTTTCAGCTCGAGTTACACAACCGCTTTCAGTGCCTACAAGATTGCAATGCAGTGGACGATATGAATGACAAGCTCGTGGAAACTGTCCATGCGGTCGGAGCTAAGTTCTGCAAGACCCACCGCAGAAGAACACAAAAACTCTCCGATCACACTCTTAATCTCATGGCTGTTAGACGGGAGATGAGGCTGCAATCGTCAACAGATTTGACAGCATACAGGCAACTGAACAGACAGATCTCCAAATGCATGCGGCGAGACTTACGCAACTTTAATACTGCTCGTATTAAAGAAGCGATCGAGCGGAACCAGGGCTCCAAAGTCTTTGCCAGAGATCTGTCTGCCAGAAAGAGCCAACTGTCAAAGCTGAAGACTGAGTGTGGCAGCATCGTTTCCGAGACACCTGAGATTTTGAGTGAGATTGAGAGGTTCTATGGGCAGCTGTACACATCATCGTTGGAGCCACACGCAAGTGTGAGTAACGATCCAAGAGCAAGTCTTATCCGACACTATTCCGATGATATCCCGGACGTCAGTCTAAGCGAGATTAGAATGGCTCTCCAGCACCTTAAAAACGGCAGGGCCCCAGGCGAGGACGGAATTACAGCGGAGCTTCTGAAAGCGGGTGGAACACCGGTACTGGAAGTCCTTCAGAAGCTCTTCAATTCCGTCCTCCATGGTGGCACTACTCCAGAGGCGTGGAGCAGAAGTGCGGTGGTCTTGTTCTTTAAGAAAGGCGACAACGCTCTCTTGAAGAACTACAGACCGATTTCCCTTCTGAGCCGCGTCTACGTGCTGTTTTCGAGAGTCACTACGAATCGTCTCGCACGCAGACTCGACGACTTCCAGCCTCCCGAACAAGCCGGTTCCCGAAAAGGCTTCAGTACCATAGACCACATACATACCCTGCGGCAGATTGTACAGAAGACTGAAGAGTACAATTTGCCACTTTGCCTGGCGTATGTGGACTATGAGAAAGCCTTTGATTCCGTCGAAATTTGGGCGGTGCTGCAGTCCCTTCAGCGGTGCCAAGTTGACTGTCGGTATATCGAAGTGCTGAAGTGTTTGTACAGTAGGGCTACGATGGCTATCCGAGTACAGAACCAGAGCTCGAAACCTATCCAACTGCAGAGAGGTGTAAGACAGGGTGACGTTATATCCCCGAAACTCTTCACCGCTGCTTTGGAAGACGTTTTCAAGCTACTGGACTGGAAAGGATACGGTATTAACATCAATGGCGAGTACATCACTCACCTTCGATTTGCCGACGATATAGTCCTTATTACGCTATATACGCTGGAGGATTTAAGCACTATGCCCAATGACCTCAATAGTGCCTCCCAACGGATAGGTCTTAAGATGAACATGGACAAAACAAAGATTATGTTTAATGTCCATGTCACACCTATGCCGGTAGTTGTTGGGAGCACTATGCTCGAAGTTGTTGACGAGTATGTTTACCTGGGACAAATAGTCCGACTAGGTAAGTCCAACTTCGACCGAGAGGTCAATCGACGGATTCAACTCGGCTGGGCAGCGTTCGGGAAATTACGACATATCTTCTCGTCAGGTATACCTCAATCTCTAAAAACTAAATTGTACAACCAGTGCGTGTTGCCAGTGATGACTTACGGATCTGAGACGTGGTCCTTCACTGCTGGCCGTATGAGGACGATCAAGGTCGCTCAGCGAGCTATGGAGAGGGCTATGCTCGGAATTTCTCTGCGTGATAGACTCAGAAATGAGGATATCCGCAGTAAAACCAGAGTGACCGACATAGCCCAACGGATTAGTAAGCTGAAGTGGCAATGGGCCGGCCATATAGCTCGAAGAACCGATAACCGATGGGGAAGAAAGGTTCTCGAGTGGCAGCCTCCTACCGGTAGGCGTAGTGTAGGGCGACCACCCACTAGATGGAGTGACGACCTGGTAAGATATGCAGGAAGTCGATGGATGCAGGTGGCAGGACCGTGCTTTGTGGCATTACTTGGGGGAGGCCTATGTTCAGCAGTGGACTTGTGAAAGGCTGTAATGATGATGATGATGATGATGATAGGGAGGATTCGCTATAGCCATACGTTGCAGGCAACTTTGCGATCGACAACGACTATGGTACTAACCATATCTCACGAACCTTTGAAACTTTACTCCCTCACCGATTTGAATATTTAGTAATGTTTATTTTCTTCTGCCAATAAGTACAAGTCTAATTACTTACTGCCAGGAGTCACAATATATTTTTGGTGTTTATTTTAGTCGACTCTTACGAGAGCCTCAGGTGGAGTTTGGATGGTTGACTTTCGTCAATTAATAATAATAATAATAATCTTTATTAATAATAATTATATTTAACGATTATTCTTTTCTTTACACAGTACGAATATAAATACGACGTGGAGGATCCAGAGAAGACTTTGTACTTCGGGGCCAACGAATCGGGAGACGCACAGGGGAAAGTCGTCGGAGGATACCGGGTACTACTCCCTGATGGTAGACTAATGAACGTGGAGTACACCGTGGAAGGTGAGAGCGGATTTGTGCCTAAGATCAGCTTCGAAAACAACGCGAATCCATTCGGCAAAAGTAAATAAATCAAGACTGTATATAAGGCCAGTGTAAATAAAAAATACAAGCTATCTCAAAAAATAAATATAAGAGAAACCTATGAAAATTAATTATAATTTCGTTAAAAGCGGACCACTTGATAACCTAGAAAGAAGCACTATTTATTTTCGTATGATTCAAAATTAAAGGAGTTTTATAGTACTCGTAATTTATTAACATAACCTATAAGGTTATTGTCAAGTGTTTTCTTACGAAAGTTTTATATTTTAGCAATAAAATTGCATTGCCGAAGAAGTTACCATCTTTGTGATTTAAATGTTTAAATGACGTTCACTTTTGCCATCTATACTATAAGATAATATGTATTTTATTGCCGAATACTATGCCAAGTAATATACAATCACCATATTGTGATATTTAACTTTAAAGTGTAATTTTATTCATGTATTTTTATAAGCAATTGAATAAATTTATGATATAAATACACAATTTGTTTTAATTTGAATGAAATCAGCGACTGTGTGAAGAGGTGATCCTGACTTATTTAACACTTAAGGTCTTGGCGCTAGTTTACAGTGTATCTGGCTACTGCACCGCAAGTTGGAATCCTAGCCGAAGCAAACATTTTGTACAAAAGTTTAATAGTTCTAGTTTTTAAGTTATGTACGCTTATTTCTGAGAAGTTCACGAAGCAATTAATTCGAGAAATTAAGCCGAGCTCAGTGTGTATTAACGAGGAGAATCAGCATTTAAAATTGCAATTAACAATATCCACTGGTGTTGGCGGGGTTCGAACACGGGTTCCTCGTGTACTAAGGGCGCTTGGCTTTACGCTACAACGGCTCTCCCAACACTCAAGAATATTTGTACAAAAATATGAATTATTGCTTTTCGGTTCTCGTTGTGATCTGAATGTAGGTGCTCTTAACGTTACATCTGCGGTAGGTGTGGACATTGGGATGCCTGCGTTGTTGCACGTAAACTTATAGCACTACAATCTCAAGCACAATTGACAGATCCTGATTATTGAAATCTTATTTCCATTGTCATGAATATTGATATTATTCCCGAAGGACACAATATTAATAAAATCATCTGTGGATGTCCCTCAGGGCTCAATTCCTGGCCTATTTCTATTTTTAATGTATATTAATGACTTACCTTCCCTTGTAGGGGATAATCATGATATAGTATTATTTTCTGATGATACTTCTTTGATTTTTTAAACTTAAATACTAGGTCATAGACATGAAATTATTTTTTTTAAAACGTTACCCCTACACTAAGATTTTCTCTTGTATCGTGGAGGCAGTTTACAAACATAAATTGCACAAGGACAAACATCCAGACCCGGAACAACTATATGTAGGCCATACAAATACTTGTTCCGTGCGGGATTCGAACCCGCGACCCCCAGCGCAGCCACTCATTACTAAGCCACTGCGCCACGGAGTCGTCAAAATGATTGTATTGTCATCGGTTCTTAATATCTACGCAATTTTCAGAATATTCATACGTTTAGAAGTGGATGAAAAGTGAAAACCGAATTACAAAATTCCAATGCATTCCTACCTTACCTAGACATACTTAGTATTTTAAAAAATACGTACTTTGTCAGTGAGACGAGTCATTATGACGGCGGTGGCTTCAGTGTCGAACTGTGGCCGACCAGCGCGACCCACCATTTGCAGCACCGTGCTGATGCTGTACTCCTTCAACAAAACAACATAGTATGGCTTAGGATAGCAAGATTTTTGAATATTATATTTCCTTTCTTTCATCAGAGTGACAAAAAAGTTAAGTACAATTAATTTTTAGGTCACCACGTGTACTTTACTGAGTGCACCAATTTGGATCGTTTAGATCCGAATCCCGACCATCTGACAACCCTAAACGCAGCCCATGGACACGTGTAACCACATTCAAACAAGATACAACACATCGCGACAAATCCATATCATCTGGATGACTGGCGGTCCACCACAGTGTGATTTAAAAGAAGTTTTCCTCCACGCACAACTTTTTTGTGGAATCGACTACCATCAGAGATTTTTCCGGACTGATATGACTTAAGGACCATCAAGAAAAGAGCCTACTCCTTTTTGCCTGCAACGCATCTATATTATTACCCCTGGTGTTGCAGTCGTTCATGGGCGGCGTTAATCACTTACCATCAGGTGAGCCGTATGCTTGTTTGCCCCTCTCCTATAAAGAAAATGCAACAGTAGCCTAGTGGCAGGGCACGGACCGCGAACTCAAAAGGTCGCGGGTTCGAATCCACCATTCGACTACTGTCGTGAACCACTCCTAACACAAGCATTTTCAGGTTACCAGGAGTGGTTAAAGGGCATAATAGTAATGTTAATTAATAGGATTACTAATATTTTACTTAAAAAAAAACAGTAGTCATACTATTTATAGTTTATACTTTTTATAGAATAATAGTGACAAACGAGCGCACAATCCTTCTGATGGTGTAAGTGAATACTATGGCATACATCCATCCTTAATTAAGAATCAAAATGCAGATGCGTTTGTCACTACGATGACTGAGATGGAGTGCTTCGTATCCATTAAAAAGGTTATCTACACTCACCATACGAAATTAAATACATTTTGCTGCTATGTTACGCTGATATTCGTGAGAGCGTGGTCCTTCCCCGGTCGAGCCTACACAATAATATGGCAGCAGCATGACTCTGACACATATAATGCTTATCTATTAGCCTAGCTAATTTATTATAATAATATAATAATAAAAACCGATGAAATTCATGTCATTCAATCGTGGTGAACAAGAATGCAAAATAAGATAAAATTTTTAGTTTTTTAAATATATTTCCGGTACCAGATATATGTTTAAAGAGCTTACTTGATAAGCGCCGTTCACATATTGCTGAGTGTTTTTAATTATAACAAGATGCGCTGGTAAATTTACGCCCATAGCTGCAAACAAAAATAATTTCCATGTATGACAATTAACAAAATGGCAAAATGTAAAAAAGGTATTTAAACATCTAATCCATGCCTATGTAGGACATGTGAAGTGATTCTTCAACCGCATAGGGTAGGTATTTAATTTTTTCAAGTTCCTACTTCTAAAGATACAAAGTAATATATTATGGTGCATTGTTCTAGGCTAAAAGACGCCGCAGAATGTTGTAATACTCGACGAACATACCCAAACGTGTTGCTAGAATATTTTAATAGCTGGCGAAATTGCAATGGCGATTTTTTTGTTTCCTGTGAATTAAATTAAATTGGTAGTGGAACTATAATATAACAATTAGATACAAAAAAGTATGTCTTTTTAAAATATACCGAAGCTATAGTAACGACGCTGATGATCAGTTTTTCCGAACAAATCGTCGCAAGAAGCAATAAACAAAAATTTGCAAATTGCTACTCTATTCGAAGTCATGAGGACATTTATACGAGACTTTTTGATATGTAACATTTCATTAGACAAAATGTATTATTTTTAGCTGCCTTTTGTAACATATTACATAAATTATATGCGAAGAATGAACTCGCAAAACGAGAAGAGGTTAATGTACGAACGTGTTGAAAAAAAGCAAAATTTCGTCGCGTCTGCGAGATGTGACGGGATAATTAAGAATAAAATATACATACAATATATAAAATGCCATAAATGGTTTTTGACAATGCAAGATGAAATATGCAAAAATATTATACAGAAGTGAATTAAGGCAAATTATTAATTATATTTTTCTTACTTTGGGAGAGTACCGTAGCAATCAGAAATGGTTTTTACTGGTCCATAAGGATGAAATACCGTTACCGATACAGCCTATTAAAGTCTACTGCTGAACATAGGCCTCCCCCATAGATTGCCTCATAGGGGGGATATTTGCCACAGTTGCCACGCTTGGCAAGCGAGTTGAAACCGCAGTTTATTTTTATTTTTAGTCGTTATTAGGAAGACGCTGCTGCTCATCGCCTGATTTGTTTCCCTCCGTAGCCTCTTACGACATCCCATGGGATATATAGTGTAGTAGATATTCTTACACCGCCAACTCGGCAAATTATCAACTATCTTTGAAGTATTTTTACCTAGATTGAGCCGTGGTAGATCAGTGGTTAACGCTCGCTGTAAATATAACAGGACGCGAGTAACCCGGGTTCGATCCCCGCCGGCACCAATGAAATTGTTAATTGCAATTTTAAGTGCTGATTTACCACGTGCTCGGCGGTGAAGGAAAACATCGTGAGGAAACCTGCATGTCTGAGGAATAGGAAAAAAATATTTCGAAGACATGTGAAGTTCGTCAACACGCATTTGGGCAGCGCGGCGAACACTTCCTTGCCTCTCCAGAAATGGGGGAGCCTGGAGTGGACTATGTAGGCTGTAACACACTTTACTACCTAGATTGGTAAGGGAAACGAATCCTTTACCAAATTTTGCCTCGAATGTGTCATATTAAGAGACGACTACTATAATACCAAAAATCAATCTTGTTTACGCCAAATGTATAATACCCAGATCGATGACGAGGAGCAGCGTAAATGGTGTAAGACGCTTAGAACTGCGTTCGCAAATAAGCGCCTGTGAAACACCTTCACGCAAAAACTGTGCTAATAAATTACGTCGTTCCGCTCTTTTTTTACTAAGTCTATTATATTTGACTGACTCATTGGTCTAGTGGTTTTAAACGTGACTGCTGAGCATGAAGTCCCAATTTTGAACCCCAGATCGGACCAAAAATCAGTTATTGAGTTTTTTTCCGTTAAGAAATCAGTAGCTGCCCGGAGTCAGGAAGTTGGCGGTGTCTCACCCCCGTGTCTCTGAAAGCATGTAATTCCGTTGGTCATGCGCCTGATCTCTTCGGTCGTATCGGGTTACCGTCCAATCGGACTTTAAGAATGAAGGAATAGAGAGTACTCCGGTGTTTGCGCATACACTTGGGCACTATAATCCTTGTCCTGCGCCGATGGCTGGTATCCGTTTCCGAAATTCCGTCTGGAGGAAATTATTATTAATATTATATTTAAAATCAAATTACCA